ACCCAGCATTTCCACTTCTAGGAATTCATTGCTCCCATTTACCCATATTATGCGTACAAAGATATGTGCGTAAGGATATTCCCCGAAGAACTCTGATGGCAGAATATGAGAATTATGTTGACTAGAATCAACATAAATGCCTGTCGATAGGACAATAGGTAAACAAATTTTGCTTCATCCATGCAAATAAAATCTATTCAGGCAATTTCTACAAAATGTCTGCTGCTGCGATTTTTATTGAGATTTCATGGAATCTGTAAATTAATTTGGGCAGCACTAACATGAGATATCCTTAAATTTATTTAGGTACTTAGAAATTTCTCTCAATAATATTTTGCCATTTTTCAGTATAAAGGTTTGGGCCTATTTTTTTACCATAGCTTTTGAATTTATTTTTCTATTATCTAACAAATTAATTTTTCTCTTAAGTGATTAACTTCTATTTTCCTTTCATTAGTTTCTTGTTCTTTTGTCTAGCTTTATGTTAAGCATCTAAATAATTCTTTTCATTTTTGACTGATACATATTCTATGCTTCATTGCCATGGATATTTCCTGAGCACATCTTTACTTGCACCCTATAGGTTCTGATTAAAGTGTGACTTGTTTTTTCTTCCCTAGAAATTCTATAATTTTAGTTTGTAGTCTTTCTGTCATCTAAGAGTTCTTTAAGAGAGGTGTTTTTTTAAAAAAACAACAACAACAACACACACACAAAAAACAAAACAAATGAAAGACCTCTCCTTTTTTTTGATTTTGTTATTATTTTCTAACTTTACTGCAGTGTGGTCAAAGAATGTTTTCTTTATTGTTTCTTCTTTTTGGAACTTATTGAGGTTTTGTTGTGGTTTAATATTTTGGTCAATTTTTATGGCCATTTGAAAAGGCAGTATATTCTCTACTTTTCCGGGAATAGTTTAATATGTGTTCATCAAATAGCTTCTAAAATTACATTACTCATGTCATGTTTATACATTTGACCTATCAGAGGCTGAAGAAAATTAATTAAACTTTCCTATCCTTACAATGTTTTTGTCTATTTACCATTATATGCTCATAATTTTTGATTGATGGACATTGTTGCCACATTATGTATTGCAAAGAGGTAGTGAATTATAAGGGTAAATAGACAAAAACATTTTGTCCTGTTTAATGATTTTCGGCCTAAATTCCACCTTCTCTTACATTAAGATCATGCCTCCTGCTCTCTTTTGTTTACCTTTGCTTATATCTTCGCCCTTCGTTTAATTTTGACCTTTCTGCATCGCCTTGAGCAGTATATATTTTATTACACATGAAGTTGTATAAAGCTTTGTTATATAAAAATACATATGAATTTTAAAAAACAGGTGCATCAAATCCATTTGTATTTATTAACCTGACAGATTTGTTTGATTTTAGTTTACTATTTATATTACCTTATGTTATGTATTGAATACTTTTTTCAAATATTTCATTATCAGGTTTATTTTACTTGCTTTATTTTTCGTGCATGATTCTGAATTTAGTACTGTTTATATTTTAGTTCTAGTGGTTGCCTTTATAAATATGAATTCATAATTATAATTAAAACTATGCAATGCCCTGTCCTTGGCATGCTAGCTCTTTAAACAATATCTTATTTCTCTTCTGCTCCCCTCTGCTTTATCCCCCATCTGACTGTATTTAATAATATATTTTTCATACCTATGTATTGTTAAATATAATTATTTTGCAGCCCTTGATTTACCAACTTTAAAGAATACGCTTCAAATTCTTGCTATTTTAGAAGCAGTTCCCGCATTCTTTCCTCTTTCTACTCCTCATTTTTGCTATGGATACCATGTCAATGTTTTCAGGGCCTCTGGGGTTTGGGGGTAACATGCCTCCATCCTCATTTTTATCCCTCCCTGCAGGCACTGTAGTTGAACAAGCTCTGATCGCTGAGTCCTCTACGAGTCCTCCACCCACTTGCAGTCTTCCGAGATTGTTTTGACATCTCGTGTCCTCTGCGCTTTCCTTTGTTCGCGTATGTTTATACCGTTCTTGTTCCCATGCTGTCATTTGATCAGCATTTTGAGAGAGTTGGGGTAAAACATACGCATGCTGTCTTCCGTGTTTAACAAGAATCCCCAAATAACTTTTTAGTTTTGAGAGAAAATGCTTTGCATTAAAAGTTCAGAAGAAAAACAGAAATTTTACATGCCTGAGCTCAGCCATTTTAGAACTCTATCTCCATCCCTCCTATCTCTACTGCTATCTCTACCTCTATCTTTATATCTCTATCTACATTATATATCTCTATCTCTATCTCTTTATCTACCTATCTCTATCTCTATCTCTATCTATGGGGGGGGGAGAGAAAGAGAGAGAGAGAGAGGAGGGGGGGGAGAAAGGACAATAAGCTAAAATACTAACAGTCATTTCTCTACCTCTCTACCTAGTTACTATCTTCTGATTTATAGTTTTCAGTATTCTGCATTTTACGCATTGGTCATTTATTTTTTTTAAATTACTTTGTATTTAGACTTTTTATTTTGATATGTAACATGCACGATAAAAATGCACATGAAACATAAATTAGTTGTAAAATGAGTGTTTGTGTATTAGTCAGCTCCGTAACAAAATACCATAGGTTGAGTGGTAAAACAATAAAAATTTATCTTCTCACAGTTCATGAGGCTGGCAGTTAAAGATCAGGGTGCCAGCAGGGTCAGGCTTCGGGGAAGGCCCTTTCCTGGCTGGCTAAGGTCCCATTTCTTGCTGTGTCCTCACATGGCAGATAGAAGGCTCTGGTGTCCATTCCTCTTCTTAGAAGGGTACCAGTTCTACTGGGTCACGGCTGTGCCCTATGACCTCATTTAACCTTAATCACCTCCTTAAGGCCCTTTCTCCAATACAGTCACTTGCTGGGGTGTGGGGGGGGAGGAGGGGAGGAGTTAGGGCTTTAACATATACATTTGGGGGGGGACATAATTCATCCCATAACAGCATATGACAAACTACTCATGTCACAAAATGGAACATCATGAGCATCCCACAAGCCCCTTGCCGATTATATCCTCCCACCTCTGCCCAAGAGGTTGCTACTAACCTAACTTTTGTGGGGGTTTGTGCCGTTTTATTTATATTTTTACCTCCTACATATTCATTTCTAGACAGCATAGTAGTCTTGCTTTTCTGTTTTTAAATTTTGTCTAAATGGAATCATACTTAGGTCGTCTTTTGTGTCTGGCTTTTTTGTTCGATATTATATTCCTGAGACTCATCCTTGTGTGGCGCTAGAGTGTATTCATTTTCATTGCTGTACGTTATCCCACTTTCAGAACATAATGAAGATGTTTAATGTATTCAAAACTTTATGAACATTGGGTTGTTTCCAATGTTTTCCTTTTATAGGCAATGTTCACAAACTTTCTATAGCTGGATCCTGGTGACCATAAGTACTTATTTCTGTGGAGTGAATGTTCCAATAGTGTAATTAGGAGATCACAGTGTATATGTGTTTTCACCTTTACTTGATAATATCCACTGCTTTCCAAAAGGGTTGTACAAATGTGCATTCCCACCGGCAGTATATGAGCTTCTATTGCTTCATATATTTCTCAATACTTGGCACTGTCAACAATTAAAAATTTTTCTATCCAACAAACTTATAGAAATCTTTCAGTGTGATTTTAGTTCATATGTCCTTAATTAAGAGAAGGTTAAGAATATTTTATCTGTTTATTGATCATTTGGATTTCTACTTTTGTGAAATATCTATTTAAATCTTGGCTCATTTTAAAATTGGTTGCTCTGACATATTTCTGGTGAATTCATACGGATCATTATTCTGGATAAACACCTTGTAGGTATATGTGTTGCAAATATTTTCTGCTCAGTAGGCTTGCTTTTTGACTCTCAAAAAATAGTCTTCTGATGAACAGAACTCTAAATTTTAATGTATTAAAATGTATCCGGTTTTTCTTCTATGGTTCATGCTGCTTATTTTCTATGTAATAAATCTTTCTCTAAACTGAGGTCACAGATATAGTCTCCTTTGCTTTTTTATTTTTCCCCCTTTACAAAGTTGAATAGAACTGATAAAACAGACATCTTTGCTTCTTATATTTTTCTTTTGATCTCAAAGAGAAAGCTTGCCACTTTTCACAATTAAGTATGATGTTTGTTGTTTTCTTTAAAGTGGTTACCCTTTATCAGAGTACAATTCCCTTATAGTCCTACTTTTCCAAGAGTTTTAAATCATAAGCAGATATCAAACTTTATCAAATAATTTTTCAGCATCAATTAGGATGATCGCATGATTTCCTACTTGAATTTATTACTAGAAAGAGAACATGTTTCCTATTGTGTGTATATTAATGTTATCATCAGCAAGAAAAATTTGAAAGTTGGAAAAAGAAAGCTTTACAGAAAGCTTTGGCGTAGGATGCTTTTGGGAAGTTCCCACATTCGGAAACTACAGTTTCCATTTGCTAACTCAGCATAATCTCAGAAATACTAAGGTCACTTTGAAGTATATGAGCTAAGATAACTTACCCAGCTTCATTCATGGGTTATTTTCTGAACAAATTCCACATATATATTTGTTCTTCATTCTGTCTCAATTTTGTTCCTGACTCTCTCTCCAAGAGTTGGCCTTCCCTAAAGTTCATTCACATGTGCACCTAGCCGGTGAATGGATGTATGTCTGGCAGGAATCCCATCTGTCCAGATCACAGAAATTGGACCCTCTGAGACTGAGATACCAACATCGATATTTTATAAATCTCCCCGGGAGATTCCAACACACAGCCAAGGTGGAGAACCACTAATGTATAGCTCTTCAAAGCTGAGAGTCATATGAAACAAAGTCTACAGAGAAGATATATGACCATTACAAAGTCAGATGAACAACAGGATCCCACATGACCCAAATGAAACCCCACAGAATAAATAACAGGGGGGAAGCTGCCACGTGGAGGAAGAGAAGAAGGGGGGCGGGGAGGAAAGGCAGTGAAGGACAGCAAATCTACTCACTCCATCTTCTCGGGAAGGTCGGTGCGGGTCATGCACACACAGTTGGCCACGATCGTGACTGTGATGAAAGTGCTGAACCACCTGAGAGGCTGGGTTAAGGAAAAGCTGAGAGTCACCGTGCTTCCCCGATGGCATCGGTGACCACGGTGATGCTGAATGATGAAATTCATACCTGATAGCTAGGATTGGCTTCATGGCCTTGTCGCTTAATAACCAGGAACATTTCCTGAGTGCCTACTATGGGCTGAGTACTTCGTCCACATTTTTTTCAACACAATTATCCTATAGGTGGATATTATTATCTACATGTTGGATCTAAGAAAACAGGCTGAGAAAGCTTAGGTAATCTTTCCCTGCTCACACAGCTAGTCAACCCTGACGCCAAGATGTGTACTCAGGGTGTTTGCTAAGAGAACCCTGAGCAAGCTGAAAGGGAACAGAACCTTCCTTCCAAAATGTCCTCTGCCCCGAAGGCTTCACTTCACTTTACAATATACCCTGACGTTTCATCCATCAATGTCTCTCTTCCCCTAACAGACAAAGAGAATGCTCCTGGGGACTTAGAAATAATGGGAGAGCTACAAGCTTCCATGGAAATTAGATTAGTCAGGTTGTTTTCCTAACTTGGCTGAAGAAGTGGACTTCTGGCCAGGAACGGCGGAGGCAGGCACAGGAAGTGAAATGCTGGTTGGAGGTGGAAATTCCCAGTAGGATTAGGCTGTGGTGAGAACTCTGAACAGCCAGAGAGGAGACTCTTAGAGGAGAGGTTGGGCAAGGGCGTTATCAGAAGTGAAAGGGGACACTGAACAGGAAGGCAAGTGGGAGGGCTAAATAGATGAGGAAAATGTTGGTGGGGAAAATCCAGCAATCAGTGTCTCCGTTTGGATATTTTTCTCAGAACTAGCTGGGTTCTTGACTATTCCTTCCTGAAGAAAAATAAAGCCTGATGATGAACTTGACCTACAGAGAGAGAGTGAACCGCCCATCTTTCATAATTTCAGCTTGAGCAGAACTATTTAAATCTATTTTAGGTGTGTGTGTGTGTGTGTGTGTGTTTGTAAATGTCTTTAATGTGCCCTGTCTCATAGTTACTTAGGGAACACTTCTATTTTAAAAAGGAAAATTCTACTAATTAAGCCACATTTACCTGTTGACTTGCAATCAAAGTAAGAAATGTATTCACATGGAGGGGGAGATGTTAATCCAACGATTAATGTAAAATTATATCTTCAATTCCAAAAACTTTTAAAAGTAATATGATATATTATGAATACTATTACTTATAGAAACATTCATAGTGAATTTGATTAGAATTATAGTTTTGATGAAATAGTAATAATAGGACAGTGGGCATCCGGTACCTTAAAGAGTATCTTTTGGGGGTAGAGCTACCTACTTCCTGAGATTTACATCCATAAATGCAGATTTTGATAAGTCTGTGATGAGTAGACCCTCTACATAGTTATTTACTCATAAAATATCAAGATAAAAAGAATATGCATAATCCACGGACACAGACAATAGTGTGGGGAAGGTCTGGGGTGGGGTGGTGGCTGGGTGGCGGGGAGCAAAGAGGTGGAATTGGGGGACATCTGTAATACTGTCAACAATAATAAAAAAGAATATTTCCTGGCACTTGGTTCTTTAAAGTGATTTTATTTCTAATTAGCTGTTTCTTACTTATTTGGATGTAATTCAACCAGGATACATGGAGATAATTTTGTGTATTTGCTGTTTTTCTTTATTTGTAATTTTATGTAATTGTCATAAAATTACAAATAAGAAAAACGCTGGTAGAGATGACATACTGAGAGAATAAATTACCCTCATTCATTTTCATTAGCTGCCTACTTCCTTATTGTTGATACTGCTCCAAGCAGGATGTAGGATGGACATTTTTAACAAGCGGAGTGACCTTGGACAATTTATTTAATGCCTCTGAGTGTCAGTTTTATTATCTGCAAAATGGGGAGGATAATCCCTCTTCAGGGGTTTCCATGCCTATGAGAGTGTCGACACTTAGGGGGTATATAGCAAATGGGAGCCTACTATTATCATGAAAATTCTCTGTGGAATCAAGAAATCCAAGATTCAATTAAGAAAATATACTTCCCACTGGTTAACCATAAAGCAAGGAAAAGGAAATTGTCATGCAACTTCCTGCGGCAGCAGTTTCATGTTGAGATCCCTGTGCCAGGGGTACCAGCTCGGTGGGAGCTGCCCGGCGATCCTGCGAGCTGCCCCGGGGTGCAGGGAGAGAGCCCCTTTTCCTGGAGCCTCCTCGGGAGAGGCTGGTGCCACCTGCCAGGCAGCTGAAGCGAGGCTGTTCTTGCAAGTCAACCTCCTGGAAGCCAGAGCTGAAATCAACTCTGGAACATCCAACTTGGACAGTCACCAGGGAAGATCCCTGGAAACCAGCCAAAGTCTCTTATTTGTACTAGTGTTACTGGTCTTGGGAAAAATAAACAAACAAAAAAACCCCATCTCCTACCCCCACAACAGAAACCTGAAGCTTTCTGACGCTACCTAAATATATACAGACATTTGATCAACGTATCTCTAATCATTACATTCTCCAATGGCAGGAACCTTGGGCTATTGACAATTTCAACCTGTTGGTAGTTTGGTGGTAACTTACGCCATTGGCAGTGCCACATGACCAGTGGGGGCCCATTGAGACAACCTACCCTCTGCCCATGGCTGTCTGTTCTCGTGGCTCTCTGGGAAGTGCTGCTCCTTTGCCCAATAAGCAACCACTCCCAAGCATGGCTGGGGCCCAGACATACCATGCCTCTCTCGTTGGCGCAAAGAAGGCTTAGGGCCCTTTCACTGGTCTTTATGTTGTGGGAAGAGCTGACCACATATGGTGAGACTGTGCCTGGTATATCAGCAAAGCTCCCCTATAGAGAGAACATTTTCCAAGATGTGCATCCAGAGGTGTGTCCATACTAGTCGAGGTGAACCCAACCCCATCTCTGGGTGGCATGAAGACTCCTCGGCCTTGGGACTGCTTTCAGGTGTTGGATACATTAAAGCCACAAACGGTTCTTTTAATATAACGACTTAAAAAGGGATTTGAGGGGAGGAAGGCTCTATTGCTAACCTCTGAAGTGGGTACAGTGGGCAAGGCCTGATTCTAACATGTGGCAGAATCAACCGTGCAAAGGATATGAGTGGACAGACACTTTGATGGCTGTTCTTCTGATCGGGTTGAAAGGACTGAATAACCACAGGGCCCGAGTGGCACTAAACCGGGAAATGGTCCTCCCGTGGGTCAGCACCATAAACGTCTACAAAAAAAACCAAAAAACACACAACAGAAGGGCACCACCAGTGAGAAACACACATCCTCACACAACCATGTTCTTGAGCATGAGTGGCATCATCTCAGGCTCATGAGCAAGAGGGTCTGGGAACTATGGATCAGTGAGAGCCCAATGGAGAAGCAAAGAGTTAGGGAGGATAAGGGGCTCACAGCCATACCCCCACCCTCCCAGCAAGACCCCAGGCCTCGTGGCTGATTGTGCATCATAATGAACGCACTGCAAGTGCCAGTAGACAGGCGGCTGACCAGGGAGCAGCTAAGATGCATCGTGCCCAGGGCTGGAGTTCTGGTGGCAGTTAATTTTTCTTCTAATTAGTGGATCTCTCTGGTCCCGTGATGTCCCTTCTGTCCTCCACCTCCTAGGTCTTCCCTTTTAAACCCCCCTCTGAGCATCTTGGAGGGTGAGGGCTCTGGCAGATTACAGGAGGGAGGAAGACAGTGCAGTGCCTTTATTTTCTCCACAAACCATACTGGAGATGGCTGATTCCTGACCCTCCCAACTCCCAAACATTCATACACCATTTTTTCCAGCTGCGGAGAACGCTTAAGATACCATACAAACAGGGTAATTGTCATGGAACAGCTCTTGCTCAAATGATTGGTTCTCAAACTTTTGAATGCAAAAATTATCGGGGACTCCAAAGAGCTTTTGGTAGTGTTTATACCTTTTTGCTTATACCGTGTGTGTGTGTGTGTGTGTGTGTGTGTGTGTATGTGTGTGTGTACATACATGTTTGTGTACATGTACTATTAGAAATTGAAAATGTAGGACATTTTAAACCACAGGAATAGATAAGCACATGTTCTAGTAGCTGTTAGACTCATGATGTCATTCCCCCATCAATACCTCTGTTTACTATTATATGTTCACAAAAGAGCATGAGTAAAAAAGACAAATGACATCTAAGTATTCTTATGTAATAGCGTTGACCTGCAGAACTCATTAAAAGAGTTCTGAGAATCCCAGGATTTCTGAGCTCATACTTTGAGGACTACTGGTTTAAATCATCCTCATTTCTGATCCCCTTGCCTACTCTCCCCTCCCCACAAGATCTCTGCTCCCCGCTTGCAAAGAGAGCCATCATCTCTCGAGATCCTTGGCCAGAACTCATCCAAGGGAACAGCCCCTTCCTCTGAAACCTCCACAATAGTTCTCACTGCTTTTGAGGATTCGGGTTTCATTAGCCTCTACGGTAAGTACCATACAGATTCAAAGAGAACGTCGAAGAGGTGAGTTACATTTCTTTCCCATTGACTGAGCCTAGCTGCAGGACTCCCTGGGCTGAGTGGGGACAGAGGCTTCCTCTCCCCGAGCAGAGAACAGCCGTTCCAGCCAGTAGCCCTTACCCTGTGTGCACTGTAGAAGGGGTCCAGATCCTCCAGGGGCTCCCCGACCAGCTCTGCGGGGAGTTCACCATAGAACTTGGGCAGCTGGTTGCAGGCTTTCAAGTCAAGCTGGGGGCGAGGCTTCTCCTCTTGGTCCTCCTGCTTCTGCTTCTGCTTCCACTTGTGCTCACGCTGCTTACCCTTGGCCTTTGTTGCTGCCTGCTCGGCCGCAATCCTCTTTTCAATCTCCACCAGGGACTCCGGAGTGAATCGGCGGAAGTTGGTAGTTTCCAGGGACCCAAGGGGGAATTCCATCTTCTCATTCTTCTTTAGGAAGAATTTATACTCTTATGAGAGTGGACATCACCATAGAGAGGTAACAGTCTGCCCACTGGCCCTCTTCCTCCCATCCCTCCCACCTTTCTTGCTCAACAGCTCCCCACCCACCTCTCCTATTCCTTAACCCTCACTAAGCTCCCCCAGGACCCTACAGGCCCTGCACTGCTCTTAGGGAGACTGTTCCATCCTACTCCAGGTACTGCAGGGGCGAGTCTGTGCTCTCCATGAGCTTCTAAGTCATTGCTCCTTCCTCATTTTGTAACACACCGCCAACAACCACCACCACCACCACCTACCACTACCACCAACCACAGCCATCACCAACCATCATCCACAACCACCAACCACCACCAACAACCAACAACCACCACCACCACCACCTACCACTACCACCAACCACAGCCATCACCAACCATCATCCACAACCACCAACCACCACCAACAACCAACAACCACTACCACCACCACAACCATCACCAACCACTACCACCATCCACTACCACCAACCACAACCACCAACCACCAACAACCACAACCACCACCACCACCATCACCAGATTTAGCCATACTGCCTTCTGTCTTCATTTCTATGACTACTGAGCAATAGGCACTCTCCCACATTCATCAAAGACTTCACTTCATGATCTACTTAACCTTTAGTCTCATCCTACTTTCTGACCACAACCTTATTTTTGTAATCGTTGACACTATTACAGATGATCCCCATTGTCCCCCTCTTTGTCCACCTCCCCCCAGCCCCAGCCTTCACCTTGCTGTTGTCTGTGCCCATGGATTATGCATATACGTTCTTTGGCTAATCTTTTAAACTGATAAACAAAATAGAACCAGAGGCATGGACACATGGAACAGACAGACAGATTTCAGAGGAGAGGTGGGTGGGGAAGACTGGGTAAAAGGAGGTGAAGGGACTGACCACAACCTTCTATTTATTGACATTTCCCATGTTTCCCCCTCCATGAACTCCAGGCTACTTTTTCTTTGTCCATGGCCGAAGGCTTCTTTCCGTATTCAGATCAGACCTTATGGTCCCCCATTTGTCCCTTGTCCTTATCCTAAACACCAAGCCTGCACCAACCTACGTGAGTCTAATTCAGGTTTCTCTGAATCTGGACTGCTGAGGGGTGAGGGAGAACCTCATGCTGCTTGGAAATCATATCATTTCCCTAGGCAGCAGTTTCTTCTAGTCAGATATTTCAAATACTGCTCATCTTTTCTGAGTATTCCTTACTCCTCTTTGTAGAAAGACAATGACCATGTTCCCTGCTTCATGAAGAAAACAGAACTCCCTTAACTTCATGCCCCCCAACCTCCTACTTACCTGGCCCCACACCGTCCTTTCCTCCTTCTCTCTTCTCACAACCTGAAAGGTATCTGGCAAGGTGCAGATAGTGCCTGCTACCTGCCTGGGCTTTGCTCAGCTAATTGGGAATCCTTATTTCTGAGTCCATTTCAATGCAGTGGGGAAGGCATGCTCCTTGTGAAGCAGCCATAGTGGACCTATGTATTGTAGAATTAGTCTGGGCTTGGGATTCACCTCACGGATTGATAGCTGGGGAAGAGCCAATCCCAGCTCAGCCTTGGCTTTGAAACAGTCCACCCACCTGAGTATTTGCAGGTGTATTCTCTCCAGCCCAGGAGCTGTTACTAATAAACCAGCCTCTCTATTTGGTGGACATTCAGCCCTCTCAAGATGAGCCAACAGGGCTATTTGCTTCCCTTTGCCCTCTTAATGTCAGGCAAGAGAGGGTCTTTCCCCATTCCTCCTCTGAAGAGCCTATATCATCCAGAGCCTGCAGGACTCCCTGGAGGAAGATGAAGCAACCCTCATACTAAACTCTGCGGTGGGCAGAGGAGATTAGCTACAGGGTCAGTGCTTTCTTCTCTGCAGTGGGGTCCCTCTCTGGTTCCAGCTCCCTGGAGCCAGACACAGGCTTACAGATATTCCTCCTGCAGCAGCTCCCAGCACTCACAGTGCCTGATCAGTCACAGGGGTTTCCACTCAGAGCCTTCGGAGAGGATTTATCTAATCCTGCATCTCCCCCAATGCCTTCTGCAGAATTTTAGTGCACTGCAGAAAGGTGGTCTGCGGGATAAACAATGCTGGCCAAATCCTCCCCTTCCCCCCCTTGAAATGCATTTGTCAGAAAGGCTGGAAGGCACTAACATGTTTTTCTGTTCTTTTTATTCTATAATGGAGTGCTTTTAAGAAGTGACAGTTATTTCTGGACATGGCAGGCGGCTAAGGAGAAGGCCTAGCTCACTGCAAACATGGCTACACTTAACCATTGAGAGTGTGCTGGCAGCCTGATGCTCTGGTTTGCAGCATATTTGTAAATTTTTGTTCCAAATAAAATAAATTCTTTAACTTTTCTAGTTGGTTGCTTTTTCTTCGAATAAAAATATTTTTCTTTAAAAAATAATATAAATAAGATTTTGGTTGTTTCCTTTGATTCCTGAGCCCATTTTTGCTATTTTATTTTAATCTAACTGTACTAACATTTGAGAGCCTACTGATGACTTAACAGGCCATGATGATTTTAAAATTGTTCTCTGGGCCCCCAGCTGGGTGGCTCAGTTGGTTGGAGCCACCAAAAAGATGAGGGTTCAGTCCCTGGTCAGGGCATGTATGGAGGCAACGGACCAATGTTTCTCTCACATTGATGTTTCTCTCCCCCCACCCCACCTTCCTCTCTAAAATAAACAAACATATCCTCAGGTGAGGAGTTTAAAAAATTGTACTCTGGTCCTGTAAGTTTGCAAAATCTTGACCTAACACATGGTCCCTAACGCAGTCAGGCAGGGTCTCTGGGACTCTGGTCCAACATGATCCACAAAACCTGGAAGGCACTCCAATGACTCTGGAGCACAGTGTTCTCAGAAATCCTGCCCCTCCTAGGACTAGCCTGGAAGCAAACAGGGTGGCTTGCCATCACAGATGGGTAGAAGAGTCTCCCTGGGGCATTTTCTCTACTTGCTCTAGAGAAGCTAGATCTGAAGCTCTTACAACAAGCATCTATTCTCCTAGTTCTCTGCAGTAGCCACTGGCTCTGAGGAAAAGGTAGTTTTCTCACCTCTTCTAGTAGCATGATCTCCAAATGCCAATCACCATCAGTCACAGAGGGAGCAAGTTAAGATGCAGATTCCTGGGCCCCGCCTGCAAAAACGCTCATTTATTGGCCCTGAGGTGAGGGCCAGGAAATTGCATTTTAAAAGAATATTTGTATTGATTTCAGAGAGAGGAAAAGAGAGGGAGTTAGAAACATCAAAGATGAGAGAGAATCATTGATTGGCTGTCTCATGCACGCCCCCTACTGGGGGTTAAGCCCACAAGCCAGGCATGTGCCCTGACCGGGAATTGAACCGTGGCTTCCTGGCTCACAGGGTGATGTTCAACTACTGAGCCACGCTGGCTGGGCAGGAAGTTGATTTTTTACGAGCTCATTGCATAAGCTGCTGAAGGTGTTCTACCTTTGAGAGGCACCGGAAGCCTCTGCAACTGTGAATGTGAGAAAGAGTACAGGTCAGGGTTAGAGGGTCAGGGCAGGAGAGGTGACCTACTCCCGCAGCTCCAGAGCTCTGGGGAAAGCCCTCCTGGATTCTGGAGACAGGTCACAAGCTAATGTTGGCTGTGTTAGGGAAGAAGAGACCCAGCACCGAATGGTGGGTTCTTGTTGAATGATCATTCCAAGGATGATCACACACACACACACACACGTCTGAGTGGCTCTTCAGACATGTGTGTGTGTATGTAAATATGTTATTGATATCAGGAAGGGATCGGGAAAGAGAGATAGAAACATCAGTGATGAGAGAGAAGTTTGGCTGCCTTCTTCAGGCCCCACACTGGGGACCAAGCCCACAAGCTGGGTATGTGCCCTGACTGGGAATCAAACTGGTGACCTCTTAGTTCATGGGACAACACTCAGCCAACTGGTCCACATTGGCTGGACTAGAAGGTATTTTCTTACATATGAGAGAAATAAGAACTATTAGGGTCTGTGCTTACTTTAGGTTATAAAGATATTAATTGGACTAAACAAGCTTGTCTCTGAGTCTTTTGATTCTATACCCAATGCTCTCCCATTTCTGGGATGGGTCTGGCTGGCTGGAGCAGCTCTGGAACCTACTGACTGGGGGCATCCTTGGAGAACTCCGGGAAGTGAGTGAGGCAGGAACTGAACTGAATATATTCATTTTGGTGAGGCTTCAAGAGACCTCAGAGAACAGCCTCCTTGTCTTATATAGCTCACTGAGACAGAATCCAAGAGACTTGATCCACTATTGTAGCACTTGGTTCAGACATGATGTGGGAAAACAGGAAATTATTGTGTTTCTAGAGCCTGAGTAGTAGGTGCAAGTGTTTGCTCCCCCATCCATTGTAGGATGACATCTTCTCATGCTCTCATCAACTTGTATACAACCAAAGCTATCATTTTCATGCAGGTGATCCTAAATCTGGGCCTTTCTTCTGAACTCCAGACCCACTAGTGCAATGCCTTTGTACAGATGAAGTACATTCAATGCCTATTGAATGCTTCATGAATACCTCAAAATCATTTCTCCCATGATCACTCTATCTTCTCCCATCCCAACTTCTCCTCCTCCTATGTCACTTATGTCAATAAATTGAATAATCATTTTTCTAAGGTGGAAACTTAGGGGTCCACCTTTATGCCTCTGTCTATGTCATTTCCTCCCTTATGCCAGACATTGCCTTAGTCTCCATGGGTAGAGCAGTAAATAGGCTCTAGACGCATAACCTTTGGGTTACGTAGCTCTGAGGCTAAGTAAACTTTTCTGGCCAGCTTTCCAGGCAGACACGTTCCAGAGGAGAAAAAGATTTAAGTTATGATGATGACATGAGTAGTCTGGAATCACATTTGAAACACAAATTTAAATTTGTATCGCCAGTCTAGGCCTTTCAACTACATTCCAAATTCTTATAGTCAACTCTG